GTTTAAAATTATTAGTAAAATAAATACAGTTGATATCATGAAATATGAACACTTCAATGCTGCAAGGAAGACCTCTTATTGGGGAGTAGAGATATTTCAAAGAGTTATCTACCTGGTGAACCTGAAAAAGTAAGTATGAAAATGATATACTAAAATATTGATAGGTCAAAGCTGCAAGAAACTGCTACCTTGCAAGTAGCAAATTAAAATGTTGTTGAAACTTACCTAGCATTCGTAAAAAAAGAACGTTCCATTTCTGAAAAGCCGCTAAATAAAATCCGCACATAACGCAAAAAGAATTTTTCAATGATCGCGATACACATATAGCAAAAAATCAAATATAACATCCAGAGAAGCCCTTATAGGTATGAAATCCGCAAAACTGCACATGCGAGGACCATAAATCTTACAAAATAGAACCTACAACCCCAGTTGCCATCTACTTCTACATAATAAATTGCCACATCCAAACGGCTGAAATTCCGTAGAAGACCGCTTTCTTCCATGATAACCAAATTTTATTTATTGAAAATTCAACGCCATTTAGGAGAGCAAAACTTACGGAACAATCGCAAGTCTTTTTTAAACCACATAGAGCCTGAAGGGCGCTGGACAGCAAAGAAACTGAAATAATCCGTTTGTACGATGACACGACGGTACGAAAGTGTTTCTATTGGTTGAAGATCGGTCAATTCCTCCACCGTCGTACGAATTGACAAACTCCAACCAATAGAAACACTTTCGTACCATCGAATCATTCTACAAACGGATGCATGGGACACGGGCTTCAACGGGCTTTAGTCGAACGAATCATGGCCGAACATTCGCACTAGCGCGAATTATTTGTATCAAGTCATATTTTTAGAGTGTTATATTTGAATAATCATTGCGAAATATAAATAGGTCGACCAGGATCACTTGCAGCCTATTAGAGTGCTATCCGCTAGCATATTTAGTATATTTTCTAAATTCTATATCCACTTCTAAGTTTGATGATTTAGATCAGCGTTACTCAAAGTGTGCTGCGCAAAGCCTACGCTAGGGGTCCGCCGACAATAAAATTAATGCATGTATTAAAGAGGAATCTATAAGAATAAAGTTACCCAAGATGAAAATAACCCCGATAGCACACAAATATTACAGTAATATTTTTTTGCAATATTTAATGTAGGTCTGACGCGCCAGATTCTTATACATTAGTATTAAGAAGGTATATTTAAGAAACATGTTTTTTAAATATTTATTTGACATTTAAATCAGATATTTAAGAAATACATTTTTTAAATATTCATTTAACATTTAACTCAGGTATATCAGATTATATCAGATATTAAAACAACATATTTGTTTAAATATTTATTGGACATGTATTTACATCAGATATATGATTTTTTTAAATATTAATTATTATTATCAGACCCCTTGGGTATTCAGCCAGCCAGGACGATTTTTTTAATAGCCCAATTTTTGTTAGTCGATACTTCTTTTTGTTCTGAATGTGCATGGCTGGGGACTCGAACCTCGGACCTTCCTGTGTGTAATGACTATTATAGTTTTCCTTCCTGGGTTTCAGTCAAAATGTATATATCGTCTATTTCAAATAACGTCTGGGCGAGGCAACAGCACCATCATCAGATTAAAATTAAAAACAAACCCATTCTTGGGAACCATTTGATTCTTTATAGGCTTAGCTGCCTTCAAAATTTCATATTTGTTTGAATTACTCTAATTCAGTTAAGTAATAACGTTATATGAAATACACCATATTTTTATTTATTTTCGACAAATTTTGTTAGTCTGGTTCAATAAACACCATATTTTCATCATTTAATAAGGGTCTCAGGTTTTAGTAGTACCTAAAAGAGAATTTACTGTTACGTGCCCTTACTTTTCTGCTACGGGCACGCAAAATTTATTTTCGACCAGTTTTTTTATATACTGTAGAAATACATTAAATATTTATTTTATTTATTTATTTAATACCAGAAAATAAATTACATATTAATTGTAATTCTGCAGAGGTAAATAAATTACCTGTACACAGCCCAGTATACGCAAACTTAATATATAGAAAAAAAGCTTAAAACAGAAACTTAAAACGAAAACCAAAAATAACAGACACAACAGAAGATAGACAGGCAACCAGCAAGTCGGAATCATACTAATATTAAATAGAAATATTTGCTATAAAATATTTACCAAACATATAAATATTTAATAAGTATGTATCTATGTAATATTTTGTGCTATCTGGGAAACTACCGGAACAAAGGCCTACTTATAGATTTTACGGGTACATAATAATACAGGGTGATTCACGGAGCCTGTTCGATAGAAAAATGTTTATTTCCCGAAATCTTAGTAATATGAAATTTGGTAGGCACCATAATCGGTTGCTACAAGTCTAAATATAGTACATATTCGCAAAATGACGGCACTTCCGCATCTTCGATTTTTTAAATGGAAAGTTCCCAGTTCGATTCCATATTTGCATTCAGCTTTAAATTGTGAGTTCAGAACGTCCATGACATTTATTATTTACATTTTAAAATATTCTCATTCAATTGTTTAATCGCCTATAAAAGACTCTGTTGTAGTCTTTAACCAGGTCAATCTGCCTGCCTACTCCCTATTTAAAAGGTTTTTAAAAAGAGCTAGAATGAAGCCAGAGGTTGGTTGTTATAACATTAAAAGGCATAATGTTTTTAAGTTGCTGTTTTTAGGTCCGAGCTGAAGTTGTTTCTGCATGGTGCACAAGAATTTGATGGTGTTTCACAATGTATTGAAGAAATTTGAGCAAAGCAGATTTATGGAAGCTGTGTTAGTGAGTCAGTTCAAACTGATGTACCTAACTGAAGAATATTCAAGTGGTGTTTTTCAGAATTTAGATTTTTGCAATTCAATAATATACACCTTGTAAGCAAAAGTTCAAGTGATGGATGTAAATGAGAATTATGTTAAAAATAAATGCTTTATCCCTAACGTGTGTAGCTGATATCTCTTGAACCGTGCCAGACTCAGTATACTTGTAAACTTGCAAATCTTTATAAGCCTTGAGCTGTAATCCAATGTAAAAACTACGGCTTTAAATTAAGTAATTCACCAAATACGTCGTGATGTTGGGGAACTTATAAATATCAAGCCGTACTTAATGACCAGGGGGATCAATCAAGGGTCAATAACTTCAGTTTGTTTATCGTATCTGTTCCTCGTATGTCCACTAAGCCTTGAATAGTATGCACTTTAAGACATAGTTATACTCATCGGACATTTGTTCTAAATAAAAATATTCTCTTTTTTCAGCCTGATAACCACCCCTGTTTATAAATATAAGTATTATCAAAAATGTAATATTCAAGTTCATTTTCACTTGCTCCGCCTGTCTAGGGCTTCTAGAATTTCCTTCATTATAACAATTAAGCGTAAATGGTCAACAGCAACTAAAATCCAATAAAAAAGTAAAAAATACAAATACACCAACGTAAAATGATTAATAATAAATTGTGTAAGGTTAGGTTACACAATAACACCACAATTTGATACCACAAAATATCCCCCCCCGGGGGTATGTTCTGTGTTTGATACCATAGATGAAGACAAGTACTGATAGCAGTGAACTAGGCATTCCAATAACTATCATTTCGGTACAGAAATAACGCAAATGCAGTATTAAAATAAGGAATAACATTAGTACTGCATGACAATATTTAGCATGTCCAATAACTCTCTATTATTGTATCTGCGCTATGTAAAGATAGAATATATTGTCAACGATAAGAAGCCTTTATTTACAACAAAAAGGTGTACTTTAGAACTGACATTAATTTTATTGCAGCTGTTAATAAATTCCGCATAATCAACTTTGGGAACATTTGGGAATTTGGCAACGCTACTATAAATGTCGACTGTCACTTATCGAAGTTCTGGCAACACTTGCGCTTATCCTATTTACATTTTAATGGCTGCCGGTCCGCTGATTGCATTTTCGTCTGTGATCAAAGCTGATTCAGAGGCCGATTAACTGTTTTGCAGTTTGCAGCTATTGTGTATTTTACTGAGATTATCGGATCAGTTTTTGTCAAACTTTGATAGAAAAGTTACTGCGATTGGAAGTGTTTATATTTGAAAATATTTAGATATATTGTGTAATGGCAGCATTTTCCAACAACACCTCCGATAATGAAAACATTGAAGATGAAAGCATGACAGCCGAAGACGCTGAAGAAGCTAGTTTTCAGGAAGATGTTGAGCTAGAGGAAGATGAGGAAGGAGACGTGCAGTTTCCTGGAATAAGGGGTGGAGGCCGAGGCGGTCGCGGATTCGCGTAAGTACCCAATCAACATTGATTTCTTAGCGAATGTTTTACCTTGTGGAATTCAGGCCCACTTAGGTCAAGCCATGGGCCTTTAATTGAGACGTAAATAAACATATTCAAGTTAAGAATCCACAGAAATGTACTTGTATTGGCCACATTAGCATAAAATCATTCTATGTACCCTGTACCGAATGTAATTTGTCTTATTCTCGTCAGGTGGTTAAAATATAAAATCAATATCTCAATGCATCGGGTAAAAAGAAATCCCTGAATCAAAATTGCATGGTCATTAATACATTATACATGCCTACCTTACAATTTATATGACTGAATTTTCGAACAGAATAAAGTTTCTAGCTAAATTCGATATAGCGACGCTAGAGCGGCTCTAATTTTACAGCTGAAAGTATCCTATCTCAATTGCTTTAAAATATGTAGCTAGTATAGGAGAGAGGTTGACTTATTTGCAAGACACAAAACTGTTCAAACGGACTTAAATTTGGATCATTCAGTACTAATAAAACAATTCTGGTACGACTTCCATTTAGAGACTAGTTAGTGGAAGGAAAAAATCAACCTAATTCAAAACTCAACCCTACTTGTCTGTTCAGATTTATTTTCTGCGAACAGAAAACCTGAGTTAACATGTTAGAGATTGAGTTAACTGGAACAAATATTTATAGTTCTAACTAAAAACCTAACACAAAGAAACTGATAGTACATAGAATGGAAATGGATAGAAATAGATAGTTTCATAGAATGGAACATCAGTTCCATTCTATGAAAGGGGCTTAAACGCCGAAAAACTTACCAGTTTCAGTAGTTCCTACGATTTAGTAAAAACAGAAAACCTACCAGTTTTTGTATTTCCTGCTAAATGACAAATTAGATTATTGAAACAGAATGATTAATGTTTTTGTTAACATAGGAAACCAGTCATATAGAAAATAATGTTTTAATTTTAGAAAAGGGCCTCCTAGATGGTCTGGTCTTCCAGGTGGCCCAGGACCGAATGGCCCGCCTCCCAGATTTCGAGGAAGAGGGGGTTTCGGACCACCGCCTGGAATGTTTAGAGGTCGAGGCGGACCTCCACCACTGTTTAGAGGGGGACCGCCACCGAGAGGTCCACCAGGTAAGACATAAGAGCAACTGTAACTAAAAAAAGTCAATAGTAATGTATGGATAGTTCATAGTTTACCCTCTAATTCGAACTAATTGATTCAACATTGCTAAGTGTCACATAGTTTCGTTGAGCATGTATAATATTGTCTAAACGAAAGCAAATCGCATTGAACAAAAGGCTGCATTATGCCCGGTTTCTGATTGATTCCCTAAGAATCAAGAAGAGATTTGATTCGACAGATCCAGATCGACGAATTAAATCTTTTCCTGTCCACTAATTAACATACCAAGCACGAGTGCCGATTCTTCCAATGGGATTGGAGGTATCAGATCATCATATCAGAAAGAAGTGGAGTGAAATCTTACGTTTCAGACAAACTTGGTCTGGCGCGTGATATTTCAAATGAACTGAAAGATCTGGTCGTTGCAGAGGCAGATTAGTTAAACTAAGTGTTTAAAATGCGAAGCAAGAAACGGATAGCTATTGCTTGTGCTGGCATCATAGTGGTTTCAGAAAATCAACGCAAAAAAAGTGAGAAGAAAGTGGGTAGACTAGAGACTGGAAGGGCGTCGGCAGCCATAGGGAAAAATGAAAAAAAAAA